AGTGTGGAGCAGCAGCGTGCTCTTGTGCCGAGAGACATCAACTGCACAGCGATCCTGTGCGCAGAGCTGCGGCAGCCGCCGGGAGGAGGGGTTGATTCACTGCTCTGGGAGCTTTGGGAGGCTCTGTCTGTCTGAGGACACAACGGGTTGGAGCTGCACGGTACGAGGAAGGCACTGCTCCACCGGAGCAGGCTGGCTGGAAGGCCACAAAAAAATTAAGGAGCTGGAATGCAACACATAAGCAAAAARACTGGTACTGAAACCAGAAGAAATGTTTCTTCTTCTGCCAGAAGAAGTGAAAGCTTATGGGAGATGGTCTTGCTATCTTCAATTCCCGGACTGGCAGATATAAAAGGCTCAGAGCCAGGCTCCTCTCAGAGCCACCGTGGAAGCAGAGGCTACAAGTCCTGTCTGGAGCATAAGAAATTTCTCCTCGATGGATGGAAAAATCTTCACACTGAGTCTGATGGAGCCCTGGAGGAACAGGAAGGTGAACTGGAGAACTCCTGGAGTCCCCATTTAGCTTGAGTTACTTTGGGATTGGCACATTTGACAAGAAGTGATGGGATATTGRGCCAGCATTACAGAGAGCATCGAGCATCATTGACCCATGGGTCAGTGCCAGGAATGTGAGCAACTGCGCCATAAACTCAGTCCTTCCATTTTTAAATTAGTAAGGCTTTTTGCCATTGTTGCTTGTTTTGAATCATTATTTTAGTGCTTCATCCCTGGTGCTGGTTATAAACTTAATACTTTTTTATTTTACAAAACACTCAGTTACCTTCTGGTGTGGGATTGGTTTTATTCCCGCCCTTGCCCTCCCCCATATAATTTCCAGTATATCCTGGTTTGTTTTTCAGCAAATTTTAAAATTTTCTCTTTAGTTTTCACTTTGCTGGTGGGTTATAAAGTTGTGCTTGTTGCATAACAGTCCTTTCTTAAGCTGTTTAATTCAGCCTGCAGTTTGGGCTATGAAGAGAAATGCRCATTAAATTATTTAATGTGAGCTAATTTTCTTAAGGATTTCTGGTTGTCACATAAGCTGCATGTTTTCAGGGTCTTTAGAATTAGAAATATATATAATACAAGTGCTGCTTTACCTGTAAACACTGAGAATACAGAGAAACCTTAGTGTAGGTATTTTTTCTAAATTATCATCTTTTTAGAGATGCATCTTACATGCTGCAAACATTCATGTGACTCCTATTTCAATGGCTGCAGTAATTAAATGATAATTAGCACCATCTCAGAGAGATTGGCTCTAATTTAATACAGGTGGATACATACTAATAATAATACATACTAATAATAATACAGACTAATAATAATACATACTAATTTTAACTCCAGGACATTTCTGCTTGATGCAAGAACTTCTGATAACCAGGATTTAAAGCAAACAGCTAGGCAGTGTTGTTTTCTTCTTGGCTTTATCTGCAGCTGGCTGCTTGTGTTACTTATGTGTCTTTCTAGTAAATGTTGCCTTAAAAAAACAGAACTGTTTCTTTCCCTCTGTATTTTTGGTCATCACACCAAATTTACCATCCTGTTTTGGAGATAATTTGGGAAATGTTGGTATAYAATTTTTTGGAGGAGGTGAATGAGGGTTTTTCCTGGTAAATGCAATATCACTGTAGTGTCTATATTTGTACAGTCCTTAWCACACTTAGGCTCTGATGCATGACTACAGCTTTTACATCATCTTACATCTGAGACTGCTGGGACACAACTAATGTTTTCTTTTGACTAGATTTCATTTTGTTGAATTAGGTACTTTACTAGGGTAAACGCTGATTAAAAAACATCTTTTTTTTCTTTTTCGTAAATCAGAAGGCAACCTAAAGTGGCAGCTTTAATATTATATTTATTATTTCTTTATTATTATGAGTCTCCAAGAGGAATTTTTGTAAGATRAAAACTTGCTAACTGTTCATAATACTTCATTTTTGCACCCTAGTTGACCTGTTAATGAAAACAGCAACAAATCTGGAGGCCAGTTTCTGGAGAAAGCTCTGAAGAGCCATTTCTGCCTTCCTGAAATACAAAGATCTAATATATGCCTAAGTTAATCTACCCTACWTTTTGTAATAGAAAAGCAGTGTTACTGTATAAGTGTATGAATAAAATTTTCATTTCAAAATAGGCATAATTCCAAGATGCTGCGTAGAAGYGTCTTTGTTACTGGCTTRCATACACTCCAGACCACCAAATCARCAGCTTTTGAGATTTTACTGACTTGATACTACTTCTCACATAGCTGACAAGCACATGGCTTCTGGAGTGCCGAGGACAGATGATTTGTACATTTTGGAGTCTGTTATGCCAAAACCCAGGATCTCAGAGGCCGAGGGGATGGTTCCCTTTTACTGGAGGCACTTGGGATTTTCAGCTGAAGGCTGCTCTGGGTGTTTTCAGCTGAAGGCTGCTCTGGGTGTTTTCAGCTGAA